GGGGGGGGAGTCGGGGCCTCCTTATTTCCTTAAGGAAATACAGCATTGAAAGAGGGTATAAACGTTCAGATTTTGAGAGCAAAGGGCAGCTGGCATCGTCTCTGCACCCGACAGGAGAAAGAGCAAAAGAGGAAACCCCACGCAGCCCCAAGTGTTACCACCTGCTGGCCACTCGCCACATCCTGCGTGAGGGGATGAACTGTCATAACGTACAGCCATGCCGAGCGATTTGAGTTGCCTCGAAACGGAATACAAGTAGTTGTAAAATAAAAATTGCCATACATTAGCAAGTGAGGAATAAGTGGGTTAGACCATGAACTCCTCTGCTGTGGGTCCTGGTCATGGCAGGGAAATGCAACTTGTATTTTGCTAGGACAACCGAGCAGCTCAGACAGCCGCTCGGTCAGAAGTGGCTCCCCCGAGCCGGACGAGGGGGGCAGGCAAGAGAAGGACAGACAGACGAAATATTGGCCCTTTGATTTTGTTTTTTTTTTCTAGTTATGAAGTGAACAAAGTCTTGGACCTTCAGGGCAAGGGTAAATTTCTAAACTCTTTAGTGGGTCTGAGCTCATGCTTTACTATGGCTTGTTTTCATGCCTGTGCCCATTGTCACAATTCAGAAGCACAAAAATGGGAAAGTTCCAAAAAAATTCTCCCTTTCTGAAATTGTCAATGAAACTTTAAAGTGCACTGACTGCATATTGAAGATACAGCATTCTGTCAGAAGTTGTCTTGCGACCCAGCACCTCTTTTGTGGCCTGAAAAAGGCAATGCATAATATCTGATAACAGGGAAAACTTGAGTGGAATTTCAGTCTTTCTAGAGTCAGGGGGATTCCAGAAAGCTGTTTAGATCTTAGTGCTTCTGCCGCTGTGGCTTCTTAAGTGCAGCCTTGCTTCTTAAGAAACTGCCATGAACAGTGTGATTTGCATACTGACATGTATAACTTAACATTAATGCATGTTAATAATTCCAAACATCAGCACTTTAATGATGCTACAGTTCCATGGGCCCCTGAGTCAATCTAATGGCTTTGTGGATGCTGGAAGTGGGAGGTCTGGTCCCCTTCCTTCCATCTGCACAGCCCCAGCTATTTTCGCCATCTCTGGTGAAAATCTTGTTGAATACTTCTAGAAGAGGGGTTAATCCACTAATCCAGTAGCTAAAAAGCCATAGATAATTCTTACGGATTTATGTTTTGTTGTTTCAGTGCATTAGATCTTATGCAAGAGCCTCGTAAAGCATGGAGCTGACCCAGGGGTGTGACTCAGTCCATCTCGTAAAACCACATTTTGTAGCCAGAATGACAGCATAGGACTACTGTCAAGGGTTAGTCTGTCAAAGCAAAACAGTTAACATTTAAGTTATTTAAGGAAATCATAACAAAGAACAGTAAATTTCTATAAGAACTTATTCTTGGTTGTTGCTTGCTGGTAAAAAAAAGTATGGGAAATTGGAAGGAATTATACAAGGTTCCAGTAGGTTGATTATTTTTCTTAGAGAGATCAAGTGAAAATACAAGTGAGCAAAAAGCTGATAGAAATGCTACTTAAGAAAACCTCTGCTTAAGTAGTACGCACTTGGAAATGGCTAGGCTTCCACTGTTTTCCAGTGCCAAAATGGAATCTTGCAGGTTATCTTTGCATCCTCAGGTTGGGTTGCTTCACAAAAGGTGGCATTTCTCTCAAAGATTTTAACATCATGTACTGAAAATAAAAACAGTAAGAATTTTAAATTTCTGCTTTGTGTAGCAGGTGAAATTGCCTGTGATCTAGGAGCACAAGTGGAACAAGTTGAAAACCTATTAGGAGGACAAAGTTGTGACTGGCTACAGTTGACCAGACTAAAGGATGTTATTGGGCTGGGGCAAAACACTGGTGGAATATTTGAAACTTGTACTTTAACAGCATGAAAATGTCACACCAATTTAAAGGCACTATTTGGAAGTTTTGTTTGCTAATGCAATTTTGTTCTGCCAGCCAGACCCTTGTATTAGCACCTCTGAGGCAGTACAACATTTTACATGCAACATTTATGGTTGAAATATGCTATAAAATGCTGTATTGCTTGAGATCCATAGACTCGAAACCCACAATTGCTATAACAAACATGAAACAAAGACCTCATCTCTGTTACTACTGCTTTTGTCACTGTGCTACTTGCTTTCACTCCTGATATGTTCTTTTTTCCCCAGCAAACCTGTTCTAAGTCAAGGAAGCTGCCAAGAGCATTTATTGTTAGGAGATGTATGAGAACTTCTCCTGTGACCTACCAGAAGTTTCCAGGGTCATTAGAAGGCTTTTTCCACAATGTTTTCAACCTGTAGAGTAGGAAATGGCTTGAGGATGGGAAGAATGTTGTGGTGCCTTTGCTAGATATTTTTATTCCTTCAAGTTGCTGTGGGCTACCCAAACTGCTTTACTGCAGCAGATGTTGCAGCAAAATGAATCTAGTATGCAATGCACAGGATAGGATTGACCCTTTCTCATAGATATTTGGATCATAGATTTGTAATCAGCATAAGATACTTGTTTTATCAGCCAACATTTGTAAAAACTGACTAAATACACAAGCATTCGTAATTGATGCAACCTTTCACTTCTCTGGCATTTTCGCTTGTTCACTGCTTCTCTTCCTCCTTCTCAGCAACACATACAAGTTTAATCTGCATTTCTGAAAAGTTCTTTACTCCTTGTATAATTTGCAGGAGTATTTCTCATGTTGTATTCCACCAGGTGGCTCTCAAGGCACAGAATGCAAGAACTACTCAGTGTACCTACCAACTCAGAGGACATGTGATCTTTTAGGCTATTGTAGAACTGCATTATGTTCTTAGTATTAAATCTGACAAAGAGTAGAAAAGCGGTCAATACTTCAGCCTTTGGAAGAAAAGCCTGCAACAAGGAGGTATTCTAATGATTCTGAACAAACAAAACATTACTAGTGCAGTGGCAGTAAACAGTGTCACAGAAGTACTTAAATATCAGTTGGATGTTAGAGAAAAGGGAACATTGCAGCAAGGAGAGGTGAGAGATCTGCATCTGATTCTTTGATTAACTTTCAGAAAAGAACCAAAAAATATGCTTTTGGCCTTAGTTCTCCTTTCAAAAGGAGATTTGTTGCCTTGCACTTACAAAATACTAAGCCTCTGTATTTCAAAAAGGAAAAAATCAGTAAAATTGAATAAGTAAATATGTTTATGTGAATAAACAGGTAGCTGAAATTCACTTCCCAAAGTGAATGAATTCCGAATTGGTTAGAATTGTGTGATTTATTACACAAGGTACTTGTAAGCAAACAAACTAAAAACACCACGTGATTAATCAGTTTGCTGAAAAACGAAAGCTAGTGAACAACTACCTGGAATTCAAGTTAGCTTTGGAGATGGCATAGGTGAACAGCACCAACGTAGGAGGTAACAGAGGATGGCGCTGGCATGAGCTTAGGCAATGCGTCTGTTTGGTCCCCAGCCTACAATAACTCACTGTAGTTGAGGAAGCTTGTATTTCTCTGCAAAAGAGCTTTTGTGTACAAGTGTAGGACACTGAAACGTGCTATGCCTTAGTTAGTATTCAGCCATTATGGATAAGATTATAAAAGGGCAAATAAAAGTTATTTCAGCATAATAAAAGCCCAGTATTATTAGTTGCAGTATTTCTTAGAGGAACTTGACCTCCAAGTCAATATTTTTGAATGACACTAAGCAATATTCTTCTGTAGCATGATCTTTTCCATATATGCTTTTAGTACTCTAATACTGATGCATGTGGAGTCTGTTTGCATTCCTGTTGTCCAAACAAGCCACTTCTGCTCTCTGAAAAGGCAAGCTAATGAAGTCAGCCCCATAGGCCTGCCTACTGTTGTGGTTAAAGAATGACTCAATTGGTTTTCCAAGCTCTTTGGATGGCAAACCACTGACACTTTCAATGGCTGGGAAACTTAAAAACAAGTAACTTGCTAGAGATAAGTTTAATAAGCCACCTTTTTGCCATGCCAGTTTTCTGGAAGTTCATTCTCTATCCTATGAAAACTTAATGCATTTATTTTCATGAATATTCTCTGAAATTAGGTAAGAAACTGGCTGAATTTATTTTTTGCATTACAATGCAAGTCCTCTTGGAAAGAAACTCCTGGAATCCCAAGGTAGCATATACAATCCTTAGAACTAATCCTACTGTGGAACATATCCTGGACAATTCAGTTTGTCCATCTGCAAAATATAGTGTTTTATAGCCTCTGCTTGTTTACTAGAAAAAGACCAGAAACTAATCAGTCTAGTAAGTGACTTCTGTGGAAGAGCAGCAAAGCATTCACAAGATATCCAAATTGCGTTTAGTTTTCCTACCATGAGTAGGAATGCTGTTTTGCAGTAATTTATTACAAGCACATATGCAGTTTAAGGTATAGCTAGTCTGAATCCTTTCAAAGAGTTCCTGCAGTCCTTTGAGTGTTGCACGCAACAGCCGTTTTTTCTGGAAGAGAAATTTCTCAGGGGATTGGCAAAATCTTTGAGTGAAAGGTAATCAGATGCAGAGCAAGATGAAAGAGCACTTAGCATATAGGAATTGTAGCATTTAATCAGCAATGGGACATGTACTAATGCTTCTAGCAGGGCAGTATTTTGAGGCCGACATTTGTCCATGAACTCTTTTGAAGAAGAGAGTCACTTATGAAGCAGATATGAAGTCTTTCATATCAGCTTTCAAAAGTCATTTGTAGCATTTTGCCTTTTGTATTCTTGCTATAGTGGCTAGCTTTACTGAAGTGACTTTTGAATAGTGTTCCTTTCCTCATCCTGTTTTCCTCCCTTTGTTTTTTTTTCCCCCCCGATGTCCTAGTGCTAATTTTGTGACTTTGAATATTTATGGCAGACTCTGAAGTATCAAACAGAGGGAGAAGCTGACAGAAGTGAGAACTGAGACATTATTTGCTATTTGAGTAGCAAAACAGAGACAAAAATAAGTCACATTTACTAAGTTCACTTAAGTTGGCATAAATACAAAGGGGCTCCTGTAAAGTTACAACTTCTGGCATTGGCTTGCAAATCTGTAGCTCAGAATGGATTTTTATTTAATTATTCATTTTTAACTGTCACAACACTTGTTAAGGGGGATTTATGGCATATTCTGTGTGGCATTTAAAACCTCCAAACAAAACATCTGGTTTCTAGGCCAGAAAGCTAATATTATGCCTACATTTGAAGCGCTTCGCTCCACTTCCTTCACAAACTAGTTCACAGACTAGCTGGGGTTGGAAGGGACCTTTGGAGATCATCTGATCCAACCTCCAGTTTCTGGGAGGAAACGGTCTCCTTGTGTTTTAAACACACACAAGGAAATTGTTTGTCTAACTCTCATTGTTACTGGCATTTGGTAAACTATATTGTGTTTAAGTAGAATGAAAGCTACCTCCATTGGCCATATTATCAATTTGAAATAAACTCCTAATCTAGTAGCAATCAGTGCTTGTTAAATATGATCCTAATTTTTTAGGAAAGATTAACTATTTTAATTTAGTTTATTGCTATGCTTAAAACTATTAATCATTCTTAAAACTCCTGTTTTACAGCAGGAAAAAAGTAATTTGTCATCTGTCAAAATGCCTTTGTTATAATTATAATAAAATATTTGCATTAAGGCTATTGATTTTGAAAGGAGACATGTTATCTTTTCATCTGTTTTATCAGCTGCTCATAGTTTACTTTAAAAAGGAGTAGATTTCTGGTAGATCTGTGTAAGCCAAATTGAAGAGCTTGGACGTAAAACTTTCTGGAAAGCAACCTGGACAGATGGGTACAGTAGTGTTGTTTGATATCAAACAATGTCAGCACCTGCAAATGAGAGAGGTATCTGCTGTAAAGCGACTATAGTATCACTGTCCAGTGTTGCAGGGCAAGCAAAGATCCACACATAGAAGTTCATACAAGATAAGCATGGGAAAACAGCTTTCATGTGCTACTAAGACTGGTGGACATTGCTTAAATATGATTTTAAAAAGCTGCATAAGAGTGAAAGAGTTTAAGGCTACTGATTTTGGTTAGATGTATGGGTAGTCTCTTGCATATTTAGACAAGCAAGAGTTTGAGCTAGTGCTCTAAGAGTAGAAAGTTCAGAGTCTAGGTCTGTTTGGTGTTAGCTCAAACTCAGTTTTTTTGTCCACTATCCCTCCCTCTCCTCCACCATGTGACACGGATAGGCTTTCACACAGAAAGGCTTCTGACTGAAGACCCCAGTAGCTCTAAACAGAAAACTAACATGATCCAAGCTTAGAAGAAAACCAGATTTGTCAAAGCTTTGTTAAACTGGAAAAAAAGAGAAAGCATATGTAGATTTGTCAGCTTTCAGAGAAAAAAAACCTGGTTATCAGATTCCTTTATAGGTTAGTTTGTGTTACTAGGGTCAAATTTTGCCCTCAGAGCCCTACTCCTTCCTCCTCGCTGCTGCATGTAATAATTTGGATTTGTGCTGCCTTGTGTGCTATAGGTCATTTACCACTTACATTTCTCAGACTTTGCAGTTAGATGCAAAAGTCGTTGAACCTTTTTATGGCAACCTTGTCAAAGAAGTTTTCTTGCCTTTTTTAAAAGATACAGAGCACTTCAAATGAAAGTTGAGATTATTTGGAGAACAGCCTGTTCTGATATTTGAGAGTTGTGTCCAAAAACCTTTAAAATCTGATCCTTAAAATCTTTGACAGGCCACTTTTCTTGGGCATCAGAAGAGTTTAAAAAAATTCTAGAGGGCTCAATTTTATGTTAAATTTACCTGCTGTGTTGAAAAATGTCCATGAGTTTACCTAGTTGGAAGATGATGTTCTGCCTGCACCAGTGAGGTGTATATGGGATGCTTTGCTATTAACTGTAATTCAACTCCACCAGGTGGCTGTCATGCTATGAGAGTGTTCTGCTAAGGTTGTTACAGGCACGTGAAAGGCAGTGTTCAGTATTATAATATGAAAGTGCTGTTTTGGATTTTAATTGTCAGGCTCCTACATGGAATTTAATGAGAACTACACCTAGATTTCAGTACTTGATCTATTTTCTCATTAGTTATCTTATGGTGTTTTGGTCACAGGTTTTTTACATCTGAATAAACATGCAAGTTTTGCTTCTGCTGTAATGAAGTCTAGATAGTCTCCCTGTACATCCTACTTACAGGTACTGACTTTGAAGCTAACATTCTAAAGGCATTTCCAAGAAAAGGCTTGCTTTTTAAAAACCTTTTGCAAGATATTTTAAAACCTAGAATTCATCTAAGAGAGTAGTAAACTCCAGGAGTGAGTAACAAATCAGTTAAAAAAAATCTAAGATAAGGTAACAAATTGGCTTTGAGTTTTTAAAAGATCTTAAATACTTATTTTATTATACTAAATAAAGATGGCTCTGCCCTGGCAATATACCAAGCTTTTCTAAAAGATGGTAAAACCAGCATCAGGAAAACAACTCTATCTCATTTATTTTCTTTTGTATAGGTATCACTGGAAAAGATGACCTTACTGTGAATGCATCTGCAAGTGGAGGAGTGAATTTTTATCCCTGGACAATAGATAATAAATATTATTCTGCAAACATTCACTTCTGTGTGGTACCGAACACGTTTCTTGTTACAGGAGAAATTGCTGAATCTGTGCAAGCATTTGTGGTTTACTTCGACAGCACAATAGTAAGACTCTTCTGCTTCCTTATATTGCTTTATCTGTAGCATATAGTTGTCTTATCACAGTGATAACCACAATTTGTATTCTCTGCCCTGCAGCCCTCTTTCCTCTTAGGCTGATGTATTAGTTGATGTTAGATGAATGTTAAATTATGCCTGCTGACAACAGTAGCAGAGAAGCTTCCTTTCCTCTTGCTATCTTACTCCAGCAAGAGAGTCTTTCCAGGATGCAACTATGCGATTAAGTTAGGCAACTCCTTCTCCAGCCCACCACCTCCAGCTTTACTTCTAGTTGATGCTAGCTCAGGAAAGCTGATTTAGAATAGCCAAGAGTCAGTGATAAATGCGAGATTCAGTGCTATTTTCTTTCACCTCAGATGGTTTTCACTGCTACCAGCTGAGTAGAATTAATAAATGCTTTAACAAAAGCCAGAAAGACTTTGAGACAACACTATTCTAAATGACAGGAAACTGTTTTGCACCACAGATGGAAAGGGGTATATACCGCACATTCTGAAAAGGTGCCTTTAACCAGGCATCTCAGAACCACCTCAGAATAAACCAGAGCAACCAGAGTGGTTCACCAACCCCCATAACATTCACTTTAGTGTGGAATGAGGAGATAGGTGAACACTCAATCTAAAACCTGCTTAAAATGAAATGCTAGTGCTTAACGTTAAGTCTGTCCTCGTCTAAATTAGGGTTGCGTAATTAATATCAAACACGAAGGGAAGGTCCAAGGGAATAGGATTAACTCATCTGAAAGGTAAATAAGTTTTATGTAAGTCAACTTCTCTGGTTAGAACAGAAGCATCTTAAACATACTTAATATACAGCCTAGCCAATTTAAAGTAACAACTGGATCTGTAACCTGTTATTTTTCCCTTCTTCATTGCTTTTATTCTAACACTTAATGATTTTAAAATTGTCAAGTATTTGAGGATATATTCTAATTTTAAACAAAAGAACTTTTTTCCTTTAGAAATCTGGACTTGATAGTGTCTCTGAATGGCTTCCCCTGACAGAGGAGTGGTTACCAGAAGTCATGATCCTGGTCTGTGACAGAGTATCTGAAAATGGTATGATACTCAAGGGAGTCCTAAACTGACTTGAAGTTATTAATCTTGTATACTTTTCCAGTTAAATTGGCACAATCATTTCTTAAAGTATCCAGGTAAGAAAGGGCTTAAGATTCAACAGGGAAGAGCCAGGTTACTCAGATGACTGGGAACAGGAATCTTAAGCTAGTTGTTAAAATTGAACCAGGATTTTACACGCTTGCTTCAAATGAGTTGTGTATCCCATTCCTGGTATAGCAACATGAACTGCAAGGTAGCTAGCAATGCAGTTATTACTGAATGTGCATGAATCTCTCCAGCAAAGAGAGGTTGACTACTGCTTGTTTAAATTCAGTGGAAAGTATGGTTATCTCTTTTGATCACTTGGGCATAAATCCACATGCTTGCTCTGATTCTAGATGGGCATTATACAGTACTCTAACATATTTCAGATACAAGCCCAGAGTAATAGAAATCTTCACTGTGGCACTTCACTTACTTCACTTCCCTGTGAACATCCACTGCAAAGTCAGTCTGTTTAAAAACACTGATTCAAAGGGTGAGATTCATTCAGGGGCTTTCAGAATCAATTTCAAAGCGAATAGAGGACCCAGGCCAACCAGTCTATACTTTCCCCTCCCCCACTACAATCCAGAACAAACAAGCAACTCAGAGAATAAAATGTAACTAAAGATTCAACTGCTGGTATTAGTTTCAAACATGTTTGTTTAGAAGGTATTTTTGTTTCCCAACTGTAGGTGTTAATAGACAGCAAGCTCAAGAATGGTGCATCAAACATGGCTTTGAACTGGTAGAACTTAGCCCTGAGGAACTGCCTGATGAAGATGGTAAGATTGGTACTTCTGTTTTAGTTTTTAGAATGAAAAACACACACCAAAATATCTTCTCAACAATTGCAAGGGGCATAACTTTATTTCTGTGCTGTATGATTACTGCATGGAACGCTCCCAGTTGGTGAGGCTTAGTCTAAGCTGTAAAAGGTCAGGAGGAGGAGGTTATTTCCTCCAAGACATTCCATTTGTCTCCTCCCAAATACAGCTGCTGTTTATGTAGCACCTACATAAAAATAATATCTGCTCCTTCTTCTGGCACTAATCGTAGGACTGTATTGATATATAAAAAGCATTTTTTCAAAATTGAATATAAACAAGAACCAGCTAAGTGCACAAGGGTGGGAAAATTCTTTCTGGCTTTTTAAAATAAAACTTTGAAGGCTATTGTACGTACCAAAAGACGGTAGACGTTGACATCAAGTCAAAAGGTGACTTGATAAGTTGAAAAAGGGAGTTGGTTAAGAACATTTTAGAAGTGCATGCACTACTGTTACACAGGAAATAAACCAGTTTCAAAATCACTTGCCTGACCATATGTTTATAACTTGAAAAAACCCATAAAGCAAAGTCAGTGGTGTGGTGTGTGATGTTCCACTCTTAAAAAGTGACTATGCACTTCCTGACAGCCTTATCAGCATCAGTCTTATCTCCTCATTTCATGGATACAAACAAAGTCTTTACATCTCACCCCTAGAGAGCCAAAAGTAGATAAGCAACTCCATTTCCAGGCTTGAGTGGAATTTGTTACTAACATTTACCCTCTTTCAAATTCACTAAGTACATAGCTGTCACTAAAAATAATTTAGTCTAAAGGCCCTTCTAAGCTATGACTAAGTCCCCCCCGCTTTTAAAAAGGCCTTGACCCATCTTGAGTAGGTAAGAACCCCTCCATGTCTTTTAGATGCATTTCTTTTTGGCACATTGTTAGGTGCGGAGGGAGACATACACGTGCTTCTTATTTATAGAAACCAGAAAAATAGGAAATTGATACTGCTTAGACTGAAGTTTTAATTCTGAAGTGCTTTAAAGGGGAAAAATGAGTAACATTACAGTCAACTTATCTTTCAGTTGAACAGTTGTAAAGAAAAAGCTGTTTACCATGCAAATAACGTAAGTAATGGGAATATTAATAATCGCTCAGGATGTTGGTCTTTGGAGTAGTAATACAGGTTTTCTCCTGGACTTTTAACATAATTGCTTCACTGTGACTCATGCATCAGAGGATATACATTCCAGTGAGTAGCATGTTTACCCTGTAAACATGTTTTATGATTTGCTTAACAAAAGATAAAACGGATGCAGTAAATATATTGGGCCAAAATCTATTTAACAATTATGACATTTCTGGCAGCTCATCATAAATGAACTGGAGCTTTTCCTATGACTATGCTATCAGTCAGTAATTTTGTGTACTACGGACAAATTCTTAATTGAGACTCTAGACAACAACTCGGATGCAAAACTCAGCAGCAGCATGAAGGACAAAGCATTTGATCTCAGGGGTCATAGGTAGCTTTAAATTCATTTTTTAAAGTCAGTTTCAATCACTACACCTGTCCCTGAGTCATCCTACAAGCGTGATTTTTAAGCAATCATATTTTCCTATCCAAAGGGTTTTTCTTCCCTATTGCTTTGTGAGGCCTGCACAAACATAGGAAGCTGACTAAGCTGAGGAAATGGGAAAACTGACTTTGTATCTACAAAATGTTGTCAGATCCATTCAGTAAATAAGTTGAACGCAGGATAACGCATTTCCTAGTCTTTCAGATTCGTTTAATTTATAGGATTGCTGGAACATCTGAAGTTAGATTTCTGTGGAGATGCTTTAGAGTGATCTTTTCCATTTTTAAGTGTTGCACCTTCTTTAACACATCTGAGAGCTTTTAGTAGTGCAATAGGAATAAGAAGTGGTCAACAAGCCATGCATTTATGCCTTGCTTTTTACTTACCAAAGTAAGGAAAAAGTAATATCAGCATCTATTTTTACGATGTAACAAGTTCTGAAAGATTTTGGGGGTGAAAGATGGTTTGCTTTTAACAGTAACTTAAAATTTGTCCATTTGCTCTTTAAACTACTAGCATGTCATTTATCAACGCAGCAATCTTTCCTAAGCACTTCTAATGATAAATATTGAACAAAACCTTATCAGAATTTAAATCTCTCTGCAGTCAAGACTGAGCGCTCATAGTTCATAATAGCTGGAAGCCTAGACCAAAGTGATGTGTTAATATAGATTTTAGCCTGTCATGAAGCAAAGGAAGTCTGTCTTCCTTTACAAAGTCTTTTATAGCCATTGCTATAAAATAGGACCAGCCATTCAGACACACACCTTACTTTCAAGTATGTAATGGTTTTGTTTGTTAGGAGTGAAATGGTCTTTATCTTTTGGTTTAGATGACTTTCCAGAATCCACAGGAGTGAAACGAATTGTACAAGCCTTGAATGCCAACGTATGGTCCAACGTAGTCATGAAAAACGGTACGTAATGCAGGTTTCTTTTATAAAGAAACTGGAATTCTGGAGGACGTTACGCTTACAGGGCTTAGTAGTCTTAGCAAAAGTTTAAATTAAGCAAGTACAATGCTACTGTCAGTGCATCAACATACAGAGAGTTAGAGCACTCTTCACAGGGAAGCAGCCTTTTATATGAAACGGTAGGCTTTCCAGGCAGTGCTTTTTTTGGTCTGTTGATGCACAGAGAAACACAGAGGCAATGGGTGAAGTTTAATCCCATTTCAGTATCTGTTCATGTGCCCTCTGTACTTTGACTTGCTCTCTACAGATAACATGAATTAAGTATTCCTCTAACTCTCTTCAGATTTCAATGAGAAATGAAAGCTTGTTCAACCAACTCTTACAGCAAATAGCCTGTCATTATCAGTCTGGTCTAAAAGCTGTAACAAACCTACTCTTCTACAATGGTCTTTACTAAATTGTGAATAATTCCAAATTTATTCAAAAAATTTGGAAAGTCTTTTGAAGCAGTGATGAGATTTGCAAATGCAGAGACAAGACCCAAAGACATGATCTCAAATTTCTATTGAAGAACTTAATATTAACTGCATCACAAGGGCTGTCTTCCCTACAGAAAATCCCCCTTGAGTAAATGGAGACTGCATAATGTTTTGAGATAATACAAAAACCCAGTCGCCTGCAAGTACTTGATTATTAGGTAGAGTTAAATTTTGGAAAAATCAGTTTAGGATTAGACTCATTAGAAAAGAAAGTGCTGTGGCTAGCCCAGAGTTCTTGTAAGCATAGGTTATTGTTGTTTTCTTTCAAACCTTTAATTGCTTTTCCAATTACACAAACTGTTGCAGGAAACGTAAGAAGAGAGAAACTCTTGTGGAACGTTTGGCCTTCTGTTTCTTATTGCGTAAAGTCTTATCCCACTAGCAACCTCCTAATGTCCATCTGCTCCCTAATGTACTTTTTCACTGTGGTGGCTTTTTTCTTCCCACATCCTTTAACTGTGCAATGTTTTCAAATGTTGCAAAGTTTTTGCTAGTTGCTTTTAACTGCAAGATGGTTCTTGGGTTCCAGCAGAACCCAGATGAGAACTACTAAACTGGTAATCTGTTTTTTTTTTTAAAGTTAGCCTTTGGAGTATTTCTCATACCGCATCAGAATGAGATTAAGGAAAGATTTAATTTAATGTAACCATTGTAGG